CCGATTATCTTGCTTGGCATGCCACGTGGGTTCCTCATTGAATCCTATAAATACCCCCCGGGCCACGTCAAAAGGTAATTGAAACCAACCTTAAGATTTTCTTATCTCCGCCCTAAAGGTAGCCCCGATTATTGCTGACTTAAGCATCGGAGTGTCTACCCCAAGTTCCACCTCGGAGCTTTGCAGGTCATTCCGAAGTGCAAGCGCGAACTAGAGAAGGACTTCGGGTTTGGTGCAATTACAAATACCATTGTACCCTCTTAACTTTTCACTTTGATATTAAAATTATTTTTTAACTTTAAAAAATATTAAAATTATCCTTAAATTTTTATTTTTGATATTAAAATAATCTTTTTATTAATTAAGTGACAGATAACACATTATCTTGTCATAAAATCACATTTTAAAAAAATAATAATTATGTAAAAAACATTTTTCTGATAAAAATTCATATAATTTATAATTATATTATTATTCTTCTTCTTCCTCCTTTCTTCTTTCTCATCCCTCCGCCCCTTCCTCTTTCCCAATCTTCTTCCTTCACACCGATAAATGGGTTTGCTCAATAGGCAGAAAGCATGAGTGAAGGGATGGCGAAGACCATCATGATCAGGTTCGAGCCGGGAAGGGTTTTGATTTACACTGAGTTAGCAAACAAGTTTGCCGTGTTCGATTGGTGGTTCACGTCAGTTCCCGAACCTATTCTTTGCCCACTCGGCCACGTCGTTTAAAGCCATGGGCAACGTGAGAAAAGACCTTATTCATGGATTCCCCCAAAAAATGATCTTTGATTCCTTCAAAGAAAACGGAGATCTAGGTTTGAGAAAACCCAAATCTGGGTACTCTCAACCCAGTTTCAACACCAGTTGTGCCTTCCTTTTGGCTCTCTCTATGCACTCGCTCTTAACACAATGGCATCCAAGGTGGGAACAAAATGAAGAATCAAGCTCATAGTTGGAGTACCTGGGGCTTCTCGACGAAAACAAACTCCTCGGTCTCAAGCTTGGTGGCCTCAACAACTAGCACTGGCGACATAACGAGAGTTTGGGAATAATAAGGTTTAGAGGTTGAGACACTCTTGCGTCTGGTTTGAGGCGACGATGGCAACCTTACTTCTTTGTATTTGATGATAAGAAGAAGATGAAGTTCTTTTTTTTTTTTTAGGTTTGAAAATTGTAAATTAATAATAAAAAATACCAAATCAATATATTTGATCAACATATTCCATAGTGATATAAAGCTTGAATTGATTTTGACTTTGCAAAAGTAACAGGTTTAGGGTTTTGAATTTGAAAAGAAAATGAAAACAGAAACAAAGAACCCTGTCCATAAACTTGATTGAAATTAAGAAAAGAGGAAATAAATTTTCATATGGGTCCATTAAAAAGGAAGTTAAGAAGATGATAATTTGACGTGTAAATAAATGTTATGGTGACAAAAAAAAAATTTTTGTTGGATTTACACATAATTAAGATTCAAAAAATTTAGTAATTTTGTGATATTTTAATATATTATTTGTCACTTAACCAATGAAAGTATCATTTTAATATTCAAAATAAAAATTAAAAAATAATTTTAATATTTTTTAAAATTTTAAAATAATTTTAATACTAAAATAGAAAGTTGAGCAAACCAGCTGCGATCCACAGAAGGCACTTTACACACCAGCTGCGATCCACAGAAGGCACTTTACACACCAGCTGCGATCGTGTGATTCCTATCAATAAAGGACGATTTAAAGGGGATTGTCTCTCAGAAGACTTGTCAGTTTGCGAGACCAGCCTTGTCCATTATCTGGTCATATCAGTAAGTGACAGACTGTATCAAAATAAAAAAAAATGTAGTTGGTAAAGACTAAGAAAATTAAAAATAAAAACAGGACAAGTCTTCCTCCTCGTTTAGGGCTTGTTTGTTAGAGTTCTTTTATTTATTTTTTTAAATTTTTATAAGTGATAAATTTAAAT